TTTGTTTACAGTGGAGCAAACATCCAGTTTGTTGGTCTCTTGAATATTTTTGCATTTTTACATTAAAATTATTGGTCATTCTGAAATTTAGTTCACATATTGATAATATACAGCGCAGAAATTATTATGAAACATGAAGAAGGCATTAGAACCAACGCACTCTGTAAAGAATATGGCATGTCATCATCGCCTACCTCTACAATCAGCTGTTTGATATGTAAGCAAAGCTGCCAGGAATACGACATACACACCTCAAAGTAAGTTAAAATATAGTATTCTATTGTTTTTTATTTATTATTATACAGTACAGTATACTGTACAGTACAGTACTGTATTTAGTTTACATTTAATGTTTTGTTCATTCTATTACCAGTATACAGGTATACAGTACAGTACTTTGTATGTACTTTTCCTGTGAGTTGGAACCAATTACCCATTGAAATAATAGATTCGGTTAAAGAACAACTCTGTGGAACGAATTGTGTTAGTTAATCGAGGGACCAATGTATATTAGTCACCACAAAAACAAAAATAATAAATAAATAATAATAATAATAATAATAATAATAATAATAATAATAAATATATAAATAAAATAATAATAAAATAAATAAATAAATAAAAAATTTGAATGAAATAAAATAAGTTAAGACAAAATCACTTCTAAAGTCACTTACCAATAGATTTGGGAGCTGGTGCTGCCGAGAGAGCAGACTGAGCAGTAGATACCCGGCCATACATGACCAGTAAGTGCACGAGATCATCTGTAAGTGCCGGAAATGCTCTGCCAATACCCACCAATGATGGAAGTGATGCTTCCATGATCATAATTCTCTCTTCTTCACCAAGAACTGTATGAAATAAGACATACCAAATTACTTACAGGAATACTGTAGTTATTGATAATGAGGAATTTAAGGTGCTTAGAGAAAATACTACAATCCTCAGCTGAATCAGGAGTTTGACTGAAATGAGGGCAGCTTAGGAGCAGCTGAGCCAGAACAGGGACCATACCCAAGGGTTTAAAAAGAATGAGTGAAAGAGAGAAAAATACAAAATGAAGAATGGAAAGGCAGCTGGTAACTCTGTAATAGTTGCCAGAATGTTGAAAGCTTCAGACGATGCTGGCTTGACGATGGTCACTGAGCTGATTAATGAAATTAGGAGGGAATGTACTGCTCCAGCTGATGGGCTGAAAGCATGACTGTGAATACTTACAAGGGAAACTGTTAAACCAGGTTTAAAAAGTTGTGGAAAGAGTGACTGGGAAATTGATAAGGGAGAGAGTGAACATAAATGAAATGTAACCTGGGTTCATGCCAGGCAGGGGAAATACAGAGGCAATATTTATGGCCAGGCAACTACAGGAGAAATATCTAGGGAAGGAGAGAAAGCTGTATTTTGTGTTTGTAGACTTGGAAAAAACATTTGACAGGTAGTGCAGAAGAGTGTCTTGCTTGAGCAGTTATGACACTGTATGAGAGCTCAAGAAACTCTGTGAGAGTAAATGGTGAGGAAAGTGAGGAATCTCGGGTGACAGTAGAGATACATCAAGGGTCTGTCTTAAGACCCCTTCTGTTTATCAAGGTGTTATAAGGACTACTCTGTATTTTGAAAAATTGGGACTGGTTTACTCTGGGAGTTGTTATATGCTGATGACTTAGTATTGATAGGAGATAGTTTGGAAGAGGTTGTGGTGAAATTTAAGAAATGGAAGGATAGAATGGAGTAAAAGAGTATGAGAGTGAATGTGGGAAAAGATAAAGAAAAGATTCATGGTGTGGATGAGGGACCTGTGGTGGAAAGTGGAAAATGGACACATAATGTGAAGTGAATGTGTGGAAAGTGGGCAGCCAAGAAGTGCAGTGAAGTAGATGGTGAAGATGCAGGATGTTGCTGACTTTAAGTGTCCTGTATGTACAGGTAACCATGTGACCTTAGCAAGGCAGGAAATGCTCAATATTGGGCAGACAGTATAACCCTGGGTTGTATCAACAAGTTCTGCTACCTGGGTGATATGATCGATGCTGGAGGGGGTGCTGAAGCTAATTCAGTTGTAAGAGTCAAAGTGACTGGAAGAACTTTAGGGAACTGATGCCTTTACTGACAATGAGAGGACCTTCCCTTTGCTTGGAAGGCGAGTTGTATGGCAATGAAACATGGACAGTTAATGAGGATGACATACAGTACATAGGCTTGAGTGAACTGATATGAGAATGGCGAGTGGTGAGATGGATGTGTAATCTGATATTGAGAGATAGGAAACCCTGTTCACAACTAAAAGGGTAGTTGGATATGAAGAGTATTGGCAAGGTATTGCATAAAGGTGGGCTGAGGTTTGGGCATGTGGAGAAAATGCATACTGTATGTTACACCTGAATGTGATCTTGTGTGCGTGTACATTACTTTGCATGCAATAATCTTTGTTTGTACAGTATTACCATATCTTTATTTACAACAACTACATAAATTTTTTGCCAGAAAGCACAGTTAAGGTGATAATTATGGTGATCACTATAAACTCTTGGACCTTTTCAAAACTGATCATGATTATTTATAATGTACATGAGTATCCTATATCAAAATATTCAAGTTTCATCTAAATCTAATGCCTCTAAATTGTCAAGGTTATGATCATTTTCATGATTACTAATAATTACAACAAAATTGTCATTACATGACTATTGCAACATAATCTTATGCATGTAAGCTGCAATTTGTTACAACAAGAATGATTGTGCTATCTCAATTACAATAGTTCAAGAGATATGCTGCACGGTAGTGAGTTCCATTCTCCAAAGTTTAACCATTTTTTGTTTTTGTTTTTGCGTTTACAAAATTATGGTCCGCACAGCCTCATATACACTATACACTATATATTTCTAAGAAAGCCTACAATATCATATCATCACTTAACGCTTTTCTTCATCCAGTCACAGTAATATAAAACACAAAGTTTTCCCTTATTTTGTGGTCCCTGAACTTATTCTTGTACAGTATTCTAAGCACTGAAAGGCTAACAGTGAGACTCATAACAAATGAAGAAATGGTAGGTGGTCATGACACATTAAACACAACAACCAATCATCAGTGTTCATTACAAGTGTGTCCCCACAGGCATGAGAAAAAAAAAGAGAGAGAATAAGCAGACATTTTTAATAGTTAGAGGTGAATGCCATTTTCAGTTATACAACACCAGGTACAATAAATAAAAATTTTCTTATCCCTTACCCAGAAGGATCAACATAAACATATACTCAAGTTTCCAAATCATGAATAAAATCCTATCCAACACTTGCCTGAGAGAAGTGTAGCCATGGTGTTAATTCCTAGTCGTGATATGCTGAGTGTAGATGGCATGGCATTCTGGAGAGCCAAATGAGAAGTTAACTCAACAGCAAACAACTGTTTGTCCAAGTCTGGCAGCTGGAGAAGTTCTGGGATCCAGTTAAGACCAATTGCGATATGCATAGATGGGACTCCTCGTACCACTGGACCGAGTAACTCTCCGGGGTAACCCTAAGTCATAATAAAAAGATAAACATGATTATTAATGTCGCAAATGCAAATTAAGAATTATGTTTAATGTACAGACTTTAAGCATGTTTGATGAATATACCTTAAAAAAATCTTATATGTATAAAGGATTATACCATAAGGTGCACCTGACAGGTTGTTAACTATTAACATGGATTAAAAGTACTGTACAGTATTGTGTAAATTTCATAAACACAGCTACTGGAGCCATAATAAAATTTAGTACATTAATCTGCCAGTAATAATAACAGCACAGTGGTCCCTCGGTTAACAAACGGTTCGATTAACGAATTACCTTCCATAAGAATCTTCAATTCGGCTAACGAACAAAAATTTGATTAATGAAATCACATTTTGTTGTGAGCATCAGCTGATGGGGTACTCTGTCAATTCAGTAACCTGTTCTATGTTTGCATTCATTTCCAATGGAGTAAATATCAATAAAGTTGTGCTCTTTAATATTTTTGCATGTTTTATATTAAAATTATTAGTCATTTTAACATTTATTTAACGTATTGATAATATATGCAGTACAGGGAACTAGTTTGTTGTGAGTCCATCAGATGCGTGAGTCCGTCACAAGGCGTCAGTTGAGTTTTGAAACCAGGGAGAGAGCATCTATTTTGTTGGTGTCTTGAATATTTTTGCATTTTTCAATGAAATTATTGGTCATTCTGAACTTTAGTTAACATATTGATAATATATAGCGCAGTGCAGTGTTGATTTAAAGAAAATAATCTTGAATTACACCTAGTGAACTTAGTATTTTATTGGTGAAATGACTGCATCAAGCATGTTTCCCTGAAAGATGATTTCTCCTCTATCCCCACTTCCTTCTCTTCTCCCTTCTCCTCCATCCCCACTTCTAATTCCCATCATCATCAACCAGGAGCCTTCTACATACACACCTCAAAGTAAGTGTACTTTACTGCATTTTTTTTTTTACTTTGTATGTACTTTTCAGTGAGCTGGAACCAATTACCCAATATCCCATTGAAACAATGGATTCGGTTGACAAAATTTTCGGTTAACGAATGACCTTCTGGAACGAATTGTGTTCATTAACCGAGGGACCACTGTAGTATAAATGTACAGTTTGGGTGAAGAAAGACTTAAGGAATTTTGAAATTATGACCCAAAAATTTGGGATACGGCAAAAAAGTTGTCCCTTACGGAATTTTGGTGAATTTGTTCATTTTTCAAACAAAAAAATCGCGATAGATAACAAAGAAAGTCACGAAAATTTTAAAATTTATTTTGTGTGGATTCTGGGTGGTTGCTGCAAGACGGTTAGAGGGCGGCTCACCTCCTCAGCACAACAACAATAGTACTGTTCAGTTAATATTCTTCCCCATTTTGTGTTCAGTTATGAGTCTGTGTTCAGGACTGTATTCGCCCTTCTGGAATTTGGGTTAATTTATTAAATAAAAAAAATAAAAAAATAAAAAAAATTGCGATATACAACAAAAAATTTCACTAAAATTATAAAATTTATTTCATGTGGATTCTTGGTGGTTGCTACAAGACAGCACCTACCAAGCAGCCAGCACAACAACAATGGCTCTGCTTAGTTTGAATTTGTTCTCCAGCTTGTGCTCAGTTTTGCATCAGTGTTACTGTGTACACCGGTACCCTTATTCAAGATGAGTGGAAAAAGGCCATCAAATTCAAGTGAAAGCAGTAGTGCTAAAAGATTCCATAAAGAAATTACATTGGATATTAAACATGTTTTAAAGAGGTAACTCCAATTGCCTCACCTCACTTCACCACCTCATGCAGCACTCAACATCATTTCTGGTGAGTTAAATTCAGGTGTGTTTATTTATTGCTATGATATATCATGAATGAATCATTGTATGTGTGTTTAAAACTGTTTATTTTCATTCATATATGTGCTTGTATTATGTTTTTTGAAAGAAAATTTTTTCCTTGGGAACATATCTCAACTTACATAATGTGAGTCAATGGGAAAAATGGTCCTGAGTTATGGAATTCCATGATACAGAAAAAGATTTCTGGAACGGAACCCTTCCGTACCTCAGAGGATGCCTGTACTTTATCATTAACTTTTAGTCCTTCATTATCACTTATAACTTTTCTCATTAAGAATTCTGAATATTGTATATATCAAACAATACTGGAGATAGAACACAGCCATGTCTTACTCCCTGTCTAATTTTGAACCAATTAGTAAGTTCATTATTTACTAACACTGCAGCCTCCTGTAGCCAGTAAAGATTCTTTAAAAGTCTAATATCTCCTTCATTAATGCCTATTTTCCCAAGATCTCTATAAGTTTATTGTGCTTTACTTTATCAAAGCTTTTTCCAAATCAACAAAGCAGATATAAACATTTCTTTGAACCTCTAAAGCCCTGTACATATAGAACACCTAAAGTCAGTAACATCCTGCAGTCTGCCATTTACATCACTACACCTTTTGTGTACCCACCTTCCACACTAACTGTATATACAGTAATTTCTCGATTTAACGAACTACAGTAATTCGAGCCACCCCTTTCCGTCATATCAAAATTTATGCTAAATCGAATTTCCATTATTTTCGTTCGATTTAGCGAACTAGTTCACGAAATTGAGCGTGATTCCGTTAAATTCTGCCTCTTGGTGTTTGTTTACATCTGCTCAGTCTGTGTCCTGCCGCCAACACGTGTGTTGTTCACTGCTACCTCTCTGTCAACTAACTACTGCCATAGACATCATGCCGAAAGTCTCTCAGAAGTCTAGGAAAGGAAGCGGTGTGGGGAAGAAAGTCAAAAGAGTGTGTATTAACAGAATGAATCTCGATTTAGCGAACTAGTTCAATAAATCGAGTGAAAAATAATGGAAAAAATTCCTTCCGCTAAATCGAGAGTTCGTTATATCGGATTCCGTTAAATCAAGAGTATACTGTATTATTGAGTTGCTGTCAACACCTTTCTTACACAGACAGCAGGAAACTATTTTCCACTTTCCACCAGAGGTGGAATTAGATGTATTATGTACAGTACATCTGCAAACATACCTGAAAGTGGACCAACTTGGCTAAAGTTGTATCCTTGAGGAATGCTTGATGGATGTATGAACACACAATACTTCTTATCTCCTGAAGAGCCAGAGCTCCAGCACCATCCTGTAATATCAATGAAAATTTCAAATTAGGTACAATTTTGTTTTGGGTCTTGATTATGGCCACCTTACTGGTTACTGGAAAAAAATTGCCATTACCCCTGTGCTGTACAGAACAGATAAAAATAATAATTTTAAATTAGGATAATAAAGTTGTACACTTAATGTTACCCAACAATGCTACAACTAATTTACTCACTACATGCCTCACATTTACCCAATACCTGTACAATCAATCAACGAACAAAACTTTCCCAAAAGATCTCTTAGAAGCAACTTGAAGCCATCTCCTTATCCATGTGAAGCTGTGGAGCAAGGATATAACATAACTGTCTAGTCTTTTATTTTTACTGACTGAACTTACTGATAATTAAAACCAAAAAGAAATATCTCCAGTTCTACTTAATTTAGCTTTCCTATATTAAAAAGAAAAGTTAGATAAATGCACTACTAAAGTAAAGTGTAATGTTGTGTGAAATAGTAGAGCTAAAAGAAACAGATCTAATGGGGTGTTGTACTATGAATGGGGCACATCACAGCATGATATGGCACAACACAACACAGAAAGAATAACAGCAAATGAGAGAAGACTTTCTGCTGCACTTGTTGCCAAGAGTGAAAAAGAAAAGATATACTGTACTGTAAGTACATAACTGGCATAAGGAAACAAAATAATGAAATACAGTACGTATATAGATATAGCTGATATAGAGAACACTTATTCCATATATAGAAATAAAAGGTTGTGAAGGAAGTATACAGGTATTTTTCAGCTGAATGGACAGTTTTTCAGTTGATGGTGATGTACAAATGCCAATAAATGGCATTTTGCAATCTGAATTGACAGTTGAAAATGATAAATGGTAACAACATGCATACATACAGTACTATGAGTTTGAGAATTCCTTCAGACACTAACACAGTGAATACTATATGTCTGTCTCCTACATCATTTGTTGCCATTTTTGTCAATATATATATATATATACAGTTGTACCCCACTTAACGCGGTCAATAGAACCCAGAGGGTCCCATGTTAAGTGAAATCCGCGTTAAGTGAACAACAGAACATATGGGATTAATTCCAATAGAAACCGGCCCGACCCCCAAACTCCACTTTTTGAAGGCACATACCTATGTTGTAGTAAAAATAACATCTTAATTTTATGATGGCACATGCACACAATTAATACTTAAGAGAAATAGAGAAATACAGTCGCCAAGTTAATGTCCATTCAAATAATGGACTCAACTCCCTCCCCCTCTCACACTACACTGCCGGCTCTTCCCTCTCTGAGAAATTTTTGGGGGAAAACCACTAAATTTTAATAAATAATATCTCAAACTAAAGTTAGGATAATACAATTGACATTGCTGGATTCCTTGTAAGACCAGGAATATTTTGAATATAAATGTCATATATTTTGCACAAAAGATAACATAGTTACCTAGAGAAAAAATTTTATCTAAAATTTGTATGTTTAATGCAAAATATATGATGTTTATATTCAAAATGATCACCAAATTATAAGAATTCCAGCAATGTAAATTATATTCTGGCCGGGTAATTTGTATGAATTTTATGAGCTAAAACAGGCAGTCAGGCAGGGTGGCGGGTGGGGCAAATCTAAAAATAGCGTCTGGAGCCGGACACTCACCGCGTATATGTGGAAAAATCCGTGTTAAGTGAAAGTTCAGCTCTGGCGAGGCACCGCGTATATGATAAAACGCGTTAAGTGAAACTGCGTTAGGCGGGGTAATACTGTTTGTATATATATATATATATATATATATATATATATATATATATATATATATATATATATATATATATATATATATATATATATATATATATATATATATATATATATATATATATATATATACAACAAAATATATGTACAAAAAATAAATGTTAAATGAATTATTTATGGTGCATTAGGGTGCTGGTCACTTCAGACACAAAGATGGGCTATAAATAGCCCATCTCCCCCTCTTCTTACAGCTGCCAATGGGAAGCGTCTTGGTAATTAAATTTGATGTTTATTTTCATTGTCTAATTTATCATGTATCAAAGTAATATTACTAAAAATTGTGTAGGTAGTAGGCAGCTACCAAACAGGTAGATACTACCGCCTGGGAAAATATTGGAAGCATAATGTGTTGTGTAATGGTAGACCCTGCTGCCATATGGCATCACGAAAATTGTGACCAAGTCCCAGGTTCAGCGCTGACCTGACTTTCTGCCTCATTTACACACAATTGCAGTTTGAATTGTTCATCTAACTTTGACAACACAACATACATACAGTATATTATTTCTCACTTTTGATCTTTTTTTTACTTTTTGTATTTATTTATGGTTAGTTACTTAAAATAAGGCCAATTCACTTCAAGTAATGGCATCAAATGTTACCAGCTGGTGTAGTGTAAACACTAGTGACGTCACTTAAGCGTCTGTATTTAACTGTCAGTAGTTTCAAGAATTAATGCAGTCATTTACTGAATATTCCTTGTAAAAAATAAATTTTAAATTAATTATTTATAGGAGAAGTATTATTATCAGTAAATATACCGATATGCATTACTGGCCACCTCCACGGCTAAAAATAGCCCAATCTCGCGGTCACTTTCCCTTTCTTGTCTCCTCACTGGCAAATGGGGAGGGGGGGGTGGGCGTGGGGAGGGGTGTGTGATGATAGCTGTGTTTATTACAGGGGTATAATTCTCTTTTACGGTATGTTAGACAGGTTTATAATACATTTTTATTATTTTAATATACCGGTAATCTTAATTTGAATCCAGCTTGCCAAACGTAAGTTTCAGTATAAAATAATTAGTGGTAAGACCTTGTGAGTGGCTTACGATGTTTCCATCACCACTCTTGACACACTAAACCACAATATTTAAGAGGTAAGAATTTTATACTTGGTGATTTAGACGACCCCCTAACTTTGGCAGATTTTTTTAATGTTCAAATTCCGTCTTATA